ATATTAACACGGTGCTGGTACTAAAGCCCAGCCTGCACGGGCTCTCTCTGCCTCTGTCCACCTCGTAATATCCTACAGAAGGGCCGTGGCCTGGCCCTCCCCTCCATCCCCCCACAGAGCTTTGGCAGCCATTGATCTTCCCACTGTCCCCACTGCCTTCTCCAGAATGTCACGCGCTGGGAACTGTCTACACGCAGCCTTGTCAGATTGTCTTCCCTGAGTGAGCAAAACGCATTTAAGGTTTCCTGCATTGCGTGATCGCTCAGTTCTTTTTATCCACGAGTAATATTCCACTGTCTGGATATATCCTTTCAATTTTCTAACAATCAAAAGAAACAAAAAACATAAGTGAAAGAGGAAAGTGTTGAGAAAAATTAAAAGCTGTGCTGGGCAGGATGGCACGGGGTCAGAACGGGGAGGTTGAGGCAGGAGGATACCTCGCTCGGGCCCAGGAGTCTGAGAGCCGCCTGTGAACGCAGCGGGACCCCATCTCAGAAAAAATAAAATAAAACTCCTGCTCTTCAAAGGACCCCCCTGAAATGAGAGGACAAGCCTGGGAGGAAGTACCGGAAACCAGACACCTGACAAATAAGGTCTACCCCAATCTGTAGATGACCCCGAGACTCGACAACAGACTGCAGAGGGCCCATGCAGGTCTGCCACTTTCTGGTTTCGGGTCTCACCACATTGCCCAGGCTCGTCTGGAACCCTGAACTCAAGGGGTCCTCCTGCCCAGGCTTCCAAACAGCCAGGACTGCAGGCATGGGGCACCACCTCGGGCTCCAAGTGGCAAGATTTGAAGGATGATTTGTCACAAAATCATCCAGATGACAAGTAAGAACATGAAAAGATGCTCAATGTCACTAGTCTTTAGGAAAACAAACTAAGACCACACTGAGACACCACCCTTACCTCCTCCTCTCTCTCTCTCTCTCTCTCTCTCTCTCTCTCTCTCTCTCTCTCTCCCTGTACAGGGGATTGAATCCAGGGACACCTAACCTTGGAGTCACATCCCCACCCCTTGTTTATATTTTATTTGGAGACAGGGTCTCCATGAGGTGCTTAGGGCCTTCCTAAGTTATGGAGGCTGGCTTTGAGCTGGAGATCCTCCTGCCTCAGCCTCCCAAGCTGCTGTGCCACCCTACTCTCTTTACAATGGCTGACATCTTGGGTACCCAGTGAGGCTAGGGTGTGGAGTGACTGGGGATGGTGACAAAAGATGGAGACAGCCCTGGAGACAGTGTGGCAGCCTCCTGGAAAGGCAGCTGCACAAGGTCGGCCACACGGGCCGCTCCCTCCCAGGTGTTCAGCCCCGTGAGCCTGGCACAGGTGTTCATAGCAGCCAGAGAGCAACCGGGGCACGCGGCAGGCAAACAGGTGAACCACTGTGGCTTACCTAGACCATGAAGTGGTATGTGGCCAAGAAAGGAAAGGAGGAGCTCAGCAAGACCACACGGCATCCATTCTGTACAACACCAGTCTGATGGCCCAGAGGACAAAACTCACCCCCGCGTGTGGGACGTACACGCTTCCTGACTCAAACAGACTCCAGTGCCACCAGACCGCCCAGGACCATTATGAGCTGTTGAAGACAGACCACAGATGGGACACCCTCACTCTCGGGTACCGTGTCCCTGGCTCGTCAGTGTTCCCAGGTGTTCCCCAGGCAACACAGTCAACCACCGTGAACACTGCCTTGACCCTGTTAGGTGTCTCGAGTCATCCGGAGACGATTTAAAGGACACAGGAAGGTGCTTTTAACTGTTCATATGCTATATGCAAATATGATGCCATCTGAATAAGGGACACGAGTACCTGCAGATCTCGATATCCTGGGGTCCTGGAACCAACTCCCTCCCATAATAAGGGACAACCGACTGCACTGTTTTGCACACCTGACCGACGTCCTCTTTAGAACTGCTGATAAAAGGAAGGCTGCTTATGGTTTTTATATCCATTTGCTCACAGCCCAAATGGCCTTATTTCACACAGATCTCCTGTGGCTGCAGCTGCTAAATTAGTTTTTTTTTTGACAGCAAAGATGGGCGGTCCTCGTCCTTGCCTTGCCCCTTACCTACTAAGCACGCCTTCATCAATAGCTGCCTGCTCTAATATAAAAGGTTTTTTTTTTTTTTTTTTTTTTT